ACGACTGACGTTCTTACCGCCCCGCCCACCCACGCGCCCACCACGACTGACGTTTTTACCGCCCCGCCCACCCACGCGCCTATCACGACTGACGTTCTTACCGCCCCACCCACCCACGCGCCTACGACTGACATTCTTACCGCCCTCCCTACTGACACGCCCGCCACGAGTGACGTGCCCCTACCACCACTGACCACGCCCACGCTGGAGGGTTCCTGTGGGCCACTCTCCCCCCCACTGTAGCCGCCAACGTCACTGACCGACCCCCGCAGTCTGACCCGTTCCCCTGCCCCCCAGTGTTCAGCCTGCAGGACCTTTGCTGCCGCGCAATAGTGTCCTGCACGCCAGTGCACCTCATCGACAAGCTCCCGCTGCCCGTCACCATCAAGAGCCACCTCAAGTCCTTCTCCATGGCCAACGGCATGAACGCGGTTATGATGCACGGCCGCTCCTACTCGCTGGCCGGCGGGGGCGGCGGCGGGGGCAGCAAGGGCAACAGCCTCAAGCGGTCCCGCTCCATCCGTCCCCCTCAGAGCCCCCCCCAGAACTGCTCTCGCAGCAACTGCAAGATCTCCTAGCGAGCTCGCCGTCCCCACCACGCCCGCCACCTGCACGCGCCAGGAGGGACGTCCTAGGTTCGGCGCGGGGATCAGCCGGCAGGGCACTTCTCCGGCCTGAGCTCGAGGGAGGGGCATGTGGCTGGTGTCAGCGGAGCAAGCTCAAAAGGGTGGGCGTGCGCCTGCGCTGCAGACTCCGCGGGTGTCCCGCCATTCAGGAGGCACAGCCGGCCATGGTGGGAGACGCCCTGAGGAGCGCAGGGGCTGGGATGGCTGTTCTCGTTTATAGAAAACACGTGGCCTGTTTTTGTACATTTTTAAGGGCCGTCAGGGAGGCCTGGGTGCAGTTGTGTCGTCCATGGGAATGTGCTGGGGACACGGGAGGGGACCGGAGGGGGGTCAGAGCTAGAGTCTGGTTCACATCACGGGCACCGAGGCCTGCACAGATCCAGTGGGACACGAGCGGGTGCACCCTCTGGAAGCCTCTGGCAGGCCACTTTCTGACCATCTTGTACACTGACCCCAGTGTGGGGCTGGGAAAAGTGTCCGGGGCTCCGTCCAGTACTCGGATGACACCGTATGCCCACCTGTCAGAGGCCTGGAGATGAGTAAATGCTTTCCCAAGGGGCTGGGGTGCCCGAGCACTCTGCCAGCTCACGACCTCCCCTCGTCAGTCCCACACAGCTCAGATTGGTCTCTCCAGAGAGACTGAGGGCTCTGTAGAGGTAAAAACACGGTCCTGGGTGCTGTGAACTGCAGAGGGATCTTCTGGGGTGGTGGCTACTTTACACTAACCCCAGTGCCCAGGACCCAGCAGCCCATGCTGTGCTGTAGGCCGAGTGGGGCTGCCCCTCACAAAGCTGCCTGCTGCCCCCTCCTTGTCCCTCACCCTGACCTGGGCGACGCGGCCATTGGTCACACTGGTGCTCAACTCTACCTCCTGCCCTCAACCTCTTAGCTTGTCCCACCCCCACCCCCGGACATCTCAGGTGGCCGGTGCGTTTCCTGAGATGGGTCCTAAGCAGGTGGCTGGGCAACGCTGGACTCGCAGATGTGTGCCCGGGCCTCCCAGCCTGTTCCTACAAATGGCCTCTTAGAATTATGAACAGAACCCATGGGCTTGGTTTTTCCTCGCAGACATGGATGGCTCTGCGTTCACGTCGACACTACCCTTCGCTGCTGTGGACTTGCTCCATTCCTGTGTTCTCTCTGAACTGTTTTTAGTTCTTTGTACAGTGACTGTAACTTGACTGTGACACCGTGGTTCGCTTTATATAAATTAAAATCTCTGATTTTAAATTAAGTGCAGTGCCTGGTGGGTGGGGGCTGTGATGCAGGAGGCAAGGGGCTGGGGGAGGGGTCCTCGCAGCTGTGGAGCCAACCCAGCTCTCCACCGCCCTGCCCTCTGCCCTCACCAACCCTGCAGCTGTCCGTTGGAGCTCATCCCCCAGTGAGGGGTGAGGTGAGGGTCCAGACTCTGCAGCCTGTGTCTCCCTGTTCCCCTGGTGAGGGCGGTTTTGCTTCTGGGCTGCCACGGAGAAGCCCACCTGGGAGGGGGAGCCAGGTCAGATCTGGGCCCTGGGTGGGGAGCCCCGCTGACCATGTGTGGAGCGGCTACAGGCCCCAAGACAGAACCCATGACGTCCTGGCGACCATCTTGGCTTCATCCTGGCAACACCAGGCTCTTATTACCCTGCCTCCTGGGTCAAAAGGTCAGATGCAGGGTCACGGGGACAGTTTCCCATCCGTTTTGGAGAAGCCCCCTCCTGGGGAGGTCCCCGCCTCTCTGGAGCTGCAGGGGATTTAGAAGGGCTGACTCCTGGCTGCCCTTTGTCCTGTGCCTTGTTTGATCCCAGCGAGGCTCCTGCCATGTCCCCAGGGCTTGAGGATAGACGCCCCCAACCACAAGGACAGCTGTTGTGGTCCCCACACCTTCGGTCTTGGAGGGCTAAAGGAGCATCGGCTCTCTAATACGCTGTCAGAGGCGCCAACCTGGCCTCCCCAGGGACTAGACCGTCCCCTTCCCTGCCGTGGACCACACTGGGTATTTACATTTGAATTAGTCAAAATTAACTACAATTAACGGCTCAGTTCCGAGGTGCTCAGCAGCCCGTGGACTAGTGGGTGCTGCACTGGGCAGCACAGATGGGGATGTGCCCCCCCCCCGGGTAGCTGTGAGACAGCACTGCTCCGGAACAGTCTTTGGCCCAGTTCCTCCTGGACCAGGGGTCCAGCACCTGGGTTTTACCAGGGGGCTCTCTGCCAATGAAAGCTGTGGGGTGCATCAGCCCCCCCCCCCAGCCATCAGAGGGCTGGCCAACAGGGCACTGCGGGTGCGGGAAGAGAGCAGAAGGCCGTGGAATTGCTGGGAAGGCAAGAGCCCCCAAACTCCCCCTCTGCTGGGGCTGAACTTGGAGCCCCTGTGCCCCTGCGCCCCTGGATGTTTCACGTGGACGTAATGACGTCAGGTGACAGCAGGCCCAGCCCGAAGGGGGCCTGGTGGGACACAGAAGCGGTGCTGGGAGGGGTGCCTGCATCTGTCCACCCCCACCTCGTGGGAGCCCCCCCCAAGAGGTCAGGGACAAAAGCTGAGGCCAGCCAGCCCTGCCCCCACCTTCCTGGTTCTGAGAGGCGGGAGTGGGGGAGGGTCTGGACAGAGGGCTTTGATCCTGCTGTCGACGGTTCCCAAAGCCCAGGGCCCGAGGGAGGGGCTCGGGTTACAGTGCCCCCAGCCTCCCTCCCCTCCCCCGCTTTGGCCAGAGGCGGCCCTTCTCCGCCCCTCGATGACCCTCGCTCGGCCAGTGGCTCTGTGCTCCTGGGCCCGGCCCCTCCTCCTCCCCTCCCGAAGCCCCCTGATCAGGTTGGGAGCCGCCAGCCCAGACGGCGGGAGCCACATGGACCGACTCTGAGAGCTCGGAGGGACCCCGACCATCCAGCCCCGGACACCGGCCAGAGCCTCTATTATAGGGGGCGAAGAGGCCAGAGAAACCCGGGCCGACGGGAGGCGAGAGCCAGCTGGCCGAGGGCCGGAGGCAGGACCCAGCAGAGGCGGCGTGGATGCCGGCGGGGCCTCTGTGGGGTGGACCAGGGGCCCCGGCCGCACGCAGCCCGCCCCCGCGCTCCGCGGCCCCCATGCCGGCCACACTGCCGCTCCTGCCACTCCTGACGGTGCTCGCCGCCGCCGCCGCCGCCGCCGCCGCCAACGCCGGGCTGGTCGCTGGGGCAAGCCTGCCGCCGCCACCGGAGCCCGGGAGCCACCCAGGCGTGTGCCCCAACCAGCTTAACCCCCACCTGTGGGTGGACGCCCAGAGCACCTGTGAGCGGGAGTGCCTGGCGGACCAGGTGAGCGGAGGGGAGCGGACTGGGGTCGGCAGGAGCCAGGTCCTCTGGGGCTCACTACTCTGTGGCAGGGCAGGCTGTGCCCCGGGGGATCCCGCACTCCCACACACCCGAACACTGAGAGCCCCCTTCCTCACTGCACTCATCACCTAGTCCCTGCTCAACCTGCCCAGTCCTGCCCTAGCCACCCTCCACTTCTAAGGACCAGAGTGGACACCCCCTCAGGCCTGCAGGCCTGGGGACAGGGAGGGGCACCCCACCCCACACTCTCAAACAGCGCCACCCTGCTGTGCCCCAGCTGCCGCTCTTTCATTTGGGACTAGCGAGGTGAGGGCCGGTGGGACTCGGTCGGCCTGTTTCTTTGTCTGTGCAATGGGGGTAGTGACGAAACCTGTTTGGGGGTCGGGGTGGCCCACATGAAGGGTGCTGTAGCTCAGGCAGTGGCAGCTCATCACGCTGAGCAGAGTGAGCTTCCTCAGAAAGAGGCAGTGACTGGCTGCAGCCAAGCGGCACTGTTGGAAGAGATGGCTCACTGCTGGCATCCCAGACACAAGGGCAAGCCAGGCGGGTAAGGGAGCAAGGCAGCGGAGGGGGCGCACACTGAGTCACTCCCCCCTGCCTCCCAGGACTGCGCGGCCCCCGAGCGGTGCTGCCCCAACGTGTGCGGCCTGCGGAGCTGCGTGGCGGCACGCTTTGCCCCCGGGGGCACCACTGCACCAGTTGCTGCCACGTGCGAGGGCTTCGTGTGCCTGCAGCAGGGCTCCGACTGCGACATCTGGGACGGGCAGCCCGTGTGCCGCTGCCGCGAGCGCTGTGGGAAAGAGCCCAGTTTCACGTGCGCCTCCGACGGTCTCACGTACTACAACCCCTGCTACCTGGACGCCGAGGCCTGCCTGCGGGGCCTGCGCCTGCGCGTTGTGCCCTGCAAGTCGGTGCTGGGTTGGCCCTCCAGCAGCCCGGGGCCCCCCGAGACCCCCGAGACAACAGCGCGCCCGACGCCCGGGACCGCGCCCGACGCGCCCGAGCCACCCGCTCTCTACAGCAGCCCGTCGCCACAGGCGGTGGCCGTCGGGGGCACGGCCAGCCTGCACTGCGACGTCAGCGGGCGCCCATCCCCCGCCATCACCTGGGAGAGGCAGAGCGAGCAGCAGGAGAACCTGATTCTGCGACCTGACCAGATGTACGGCAACGTGGTGGTCACCAGCATCGGTCAGCTGGTGCTGTACAACGCGCGGCCCGAGGACGCCGGCCTCTACACCTGCACCGCCCGCAACGCCGCCGGCCTGCTGCGCGCCGACTTCCCGCTCTCGGTGGTGCAGCGGGGTGAGGCCG